CTGCAGGGTCAGAAGACCAAGCAGTCGTAAGATCAAATCCACGCGACAGAGTGAGCGCCCGTCACTTGTCCCAGCTCCCGCCAACCTAGCGGTTCGAAAGCATGCAAATGCAAGTAGATAAATAGGGACCACCTCGGTGGGAAGGTAACAGCGTTCCGTGTCTAAGTCACACTGGCCATGTGACCACGGAAGATTGTCTTCGGACAAAACGCTGGCTCTGTGGCTTGGAAATGGGGATGAGCACCGCCCCCTAGAGTTGAACACGACTGGACAAAAATTGTCAAGGGGAACCTTTACCTTTACCTATGTCAGCTAACTTGATGGTAAGGAGAAGACTGAATTAGGATTCAGTCAATTTAAGGGGAAAAATGAGAGGAATAAAAGGGAAAAAAAGTCACAAATTAACTCAGTGATTTAGGTCTCTGGCTCTAGAGCCAGAGGCTTGGAGTTCGATTCTCCGTTGTGCGTCCCTGACAGGGGCTGGACTCGGTGATCCATAGGGTCCCTTCCAGCTCTGCAGTTCTAAGATTATAAAATTAAAGGGTAGTCTATATATGTAAATTTCCATTTATTGTTCTCAGAGACGGGAACCAAAAATTGCAAATGTTTTCCATTTTAAATGTACCACCTTATAATGTGTCATTGAAGATCTCATAGTGGGGAACCTGTAGCCCTCCAGATGTTGTTCGACTCTAGTCCCCATCCGTCTCAGCCAGTGTGAGAAATTAGTCTTTAATCTGTTTATTGAGGGATACAGAAGGCTGATGAGGGACCTGAAACAGAGGGAATGAAGTACCCTTTCACCAAGTATAAGATACATGATAATTTAGCAGCTTTACTACCTGCAGTGCTGCAAATTAAAACCAAACAAGGTTTATCATGTCCTAATCCTGCTGAAACCAGTGCTGGTTATGCCTACCAGTCCCTTTGATTTCAATGGGTTCAAAAGTATGACTGACTTCTTCTTCTAGACCCAAGCCACTATCACCTGTGTCGTAAAAAAAGAAAGCCAGTTTTCCACAAGTGCTTCTAGCTCCATAATTGGTGCTACTAAACAGGGAACCACATTTCTTGGACCTCTCTTTCCTATCCCATTCTCTAGTCAACAGAGCTAAGTAGACCATAACCTTTGAAGGTTTATGTTATAATAGACATGATTGTCCTCAAAGCACTGCTCTTTCTTCTTCTTGAAATAAGGCTGTGATTCCTGGCAGCCCCTGTTGGGTTGGTTGAGTTCCTTTCATCCATTAGCAGTTCCATAAGTGAGGACAAAAAGGTTTGAAACAAAACAAGATTTCTTAAAACAGGAAAGGGTTCATATCAACATCAACAACACTGAACAGTCCTGAACTAGTTTCCAACACTGCTCGGGCTTAAAGTTTTGAGTCCTTCACTTCTGAGTCTTTTAGCCCCCATGGTTACAACCAACAAAAGGGTTCTCAGTCTCAACCTTTCCAGTAGGCTTGTCTCAATTGGCCTGCACAAGGGGATGTGCAACAGGGATGCCTTATAAGCACATGCTGCAAAAGTGTCTCTCTGATTCTTCTCTGGGTATCCAAAGCTGGAATTCTCCATATACATACAGTATATATCCGCAGTTCTCTGGTGGATCATGGCTGTCTTGGATCGCAATGTCCAAATGGTAGGATTCTTCCTTGGGGTCTTCCACAGCATCACTCCAGATATCCTCTTCTCTTCACTCCTCTTCTCCTCCCCTTGCCCAAAGTTCCCAGTTTGCACAGATTGGTCTCTATCTTACCTTTATGCTCACTTCTTCCTTCTTCCTCCTATGTTGTCTCTAAACCCTCTTTTATAGTCTTCCTCTCCCAAGGGGTCCCCTCCTCTAGTGGTCACTCTCTTATTCCCAGATTTTCTCCTTTTCCCAAGCTTTTTCTTTTTCTTTCCACATCACTGCTGGATCCTTCTTTGCTATCCCATTCTCTAGTCAACAGAGTTAAGCCCTTGCTGAGCTTCTGGATGTAGTCCCTCTTTTTTGTCACCAAGACCTTCTTGGCTTTCTGGTTCTCCTGGGGTGTGTGTGTCATACTTCAGCATAGTTTCTTCCAAGTCAACAAGAGCGCTCGTAGTGGGGAACTCAGTGCAACAAAGTTGAGACATCCCACTGACAGGGGCCTCTGTGCCACTGTTTCCATCCTTACACGGATTAACTCCAGTACATGATGAGAAATAAGCAGAAGATTGAAGAATTATGCTGCAGTCTTTTTTCTCCCGCCTTTTAACTGTTCTGCCCTTTTGCAAGATTAAGAGCAACACCAACCTGTTCGAAGGGCTGCATCACCATCTACTGCTCTGGTCTGGCTATCCAACTCCTGTGAAAATGCTCCTCTCTTTAACACAAATTATAAAATGGAAGAATCTAAAGAGATCATAGTATGATACAGCTCTCTGTTTCCAGTTTATTTGATACGATTGCTGATTAAATTCCTTATTCAAGAAAGAATAACTGCAGAAAAATCTTTTGTGAATTTTAAAATTTTTTTAAATGCAACTATGTTTTAATGTTTTTGATTTTATTATTTATTTGTATTTTATTATTTTTATTTTCCGTTCTGTTAAACTGTATCTTAATTATGTTGTTCATGTTTGTTGTAAACCACCCAGAGTAGCTTTTGACCAGATGGATAGTATAAAAATGAAATAAAATGAATAAATAAATTTTGTCCTATTCAGTAAAAATGCATTATATGGATAATTCATAACCGTACTAGTTCATTTTATTAATATAAAAGCAGGACACAAGCCATAGCACTGGCAACACAGGAAATGTTTAGATTATCCCACAGGAAATGTTTACATTGTGTTCTTCCCAAAAGCACTTGTTTACACTGCAAACGACCTCTACAGTGTGTTTAAATATATACTGAAATGGAAGGACGGTAAACCCTATGCAATCTTTAATATAGCAAAGTGTCCTTACTGTTTATTAGTGTAAAGGAAACTGCAGTATAACAACAATAGACCTCATGCTGTTCAGAACAAAGTTACTTGTTTTAGATTTTTAATTTTGTTTTTTTGCATCAGCTTCCTTCAGGAAGTCATTCAGAGCAGTTTGTATATAGCAGATAATGACCTTATTCAAATCAGTGCAACAGGTAAACGGAGAAAAATTATTTTGCAGATGGTGACAAGGAAAACAGGAAACTTCCCAAATCAGCAACATTTAAGCTACTCTCGACACTATTTTGCTATAAAATGTTTCCTATATTCAGAACAGCATATAGCTTATAGAAGAATTTCCAGCTAGAATGGCCACTGGCTATGTTGAAAGTCTGGAATTTGAAATAATAAAATAGTAGTTTTTACAACATCTGATTTTCTATATTGTCTTTCCTATGTTTATTAGACTTGTTGCTTATGAAAAACGAGATCATTAAGAAAAAATGCTTGAGAAAGAAACACCGTCTCAGCAAACCATTGCACATTATTCATTTTACTTATGGAAATGAGCATTTAATATAAGGTTTTGTTTTTGTCTGTATGTGTCAAATCTATGACTTTCCCATGTTGTACACAAATTAAAGGATGCCAAGGGAACAACAGTTTGCTATTATTCTTTTCTTCCAAATAAAATTCAGCATATTAAATACGGTTGAGTACATCCATGCATTCATGACACACCATCATTTCCCCTTGAAATCCAAAACGCCTTGAAAAAAATTATTAACATGCATAACAATTATAACGGCGTTCCATATGGTTTTGGATGAATGGATGACAATGGCTTGTCAAAAATACACCAACACAGGCATTCACTAGAAATCTCCCACCTCTGTATAATCAACATTCACACACTTTGTTTACCTTGTGGTTTGGAAATGAATATGAGTTAAAACATCATGTAATCCTTCAATTTCACACAATTTCTATGCAACCTTTAGGGTGAGCAGAACATAGAAAAGCCCCCTTTTTTGCTCTATAACTTCCAGAATCTCCCAGCTAGCATGGCCAGTAGCTGAAAGATTCTCAGAATTACAGTTTACGTTAAAAGGTCAAGTTGCCAAGAAAATCACAATTGCAATATGTGAGGAACAATGCATGGCTTAAACCCACCTTCAGTCAAAAGGAAGTTCCGTGTTCAACGGGATTTACTCCCTTTAATGTGCAGTACAATTGGAGCTCTTGAATGAGGAACACAAGGAAAAAGATCACTCACAATGAATAAGCCCAAAGGAAAATACAGTAAGTGATTTACCAAGTGGCAGAATCCTGCAAATTTCAGGGTCCAAAAAGTTTGCAGGGAGAGATGGGATATTCGTATTGGTATACAAAAATAAATATCCTGGATCCAGGTAGCTGAAAAGCCCAGTTCCACCTCCCCAAACTGAACCATCCACTTATGGGTCACTGCGCAGCACGCACAGCTGGCATCCTTCTCATTGTGGATGTAGCCAGCTAGCACTTCTCCGCCTCCTTGTGCTGCTGGCCACTCCAGTCAGAGGGTGGGATGATGAATCTCCCTGCTCAGATGATGATTGACAGAAGCACAGGGAAGCAGAGAAGTGCCAGCCAGGCTATGTCCAAGATTGGTGTGATGAGCAGGATGATGGCTATGAGTGCTGCACAGCAATCCAGGTGTGGATGGCTTGGTTTGGGGACTGGGCTTCACAGCCACCTGGGTCCAGGATAATTGTATCCCATCTCTATTTGCAAAATATTTAAAAATACACTCTCTAGCTCAACAATAAACAACATGGTGCCTGCAAGTTGAGGTCTGTTATTTTAATTCTCACTCCAGCTGCCGCCACTGAAGTGATCCTAGTCCCAGAGCTGACACTCACAGCATGAAAATGAATGCATTTTGCTTTAAGATGGATTGGGGAACCTTAGGCTATAGGGCTGCGACCAAAGCTAAGCAATCAGGTCTGCACCTCAAGGGAGGCAAAGAGACAGCAAAAACCTTTATCTGTGATGAACTCTTGCCATTCAAATGAAGATTTAAAATTTGGTAGTGAAAGTTGATGCATCTTCGCCAAATTGGGTTTTTTTTTTTAGCTTTATGCTTATTTCCAGTTGCCTCCATGGACAGTATGTGGACATCAAGAGGATTTGGCTGTGTGAGCTAACAAAAAAAAAAAATGCTCTACTAGACCAAACTGTGGCTACAGGCCACATTTAACCATTCCAGAGGCATTTCCTAGTTAGGAATTTCATCGTCACCTTATTTTCTCACAGACATAAGGACCGTGTCTCCTGTTTTCACAGAGAAGAGAACAGCTAGTGTTTTTTTTTTAAACTGCAACTTCCAAAATATCCCAGCCAGGTGGCCCATGTTGGCTGGGGGATTCTGCGAATCATAATCATAAAAAAGTAACTTTACAGCTTCCCATTCTGCAATAGGCTTGTTCAATACTGTATCCACTCTATACTTACTTAATGACTATTTAATAATACATTTAGCAGGGCTCACAGCTATAGACTGTCAGGTAGGACTCTCTATCATGGTAATGCTACAGGAGAATCAAAGCACCAAAATAAAAAAGAAGAACAGAAGTGGCTTGGAGCAGTGGTTAGAGCAAGGGTAGGGAACCTTTTTCAGCCTAGGACTAGATCCAGTTTCCTAGACATTCCCAGGGTGGCTTTGTTTTTGTAGAGGGCAGGACCAACCAGTATATTCTAGCTTACAGCTCATCCTATCAGTAATTAAGGACTTCACTAGATGAAATGCCAGTTCCATATCTAAAAAGCATTAAGGCTTAAGCTGTTTTGTAACTAGTTGTTTTGAAGATAGCATGGCTTCATTTGTACATCTGATAACTCAGACATGTAATACAGAAAGATTTGCATACCTGTAGACATAACTAATATTATAAGAAGAAATGCATGCCTGTCCTATATATGTGACCTGACCCTAAGCTTTATGAGGAGGAATTTCAATCTTTCAGAATGAAGAAAAATAAATAAAAATTGTGAAACTGCAATATGATAATGTTATGGGGGTAATGCAGAAGGGCAAGAATAGACCCTATAGCCTAAGGTTCCCCAATCAAGATTAAAGCAAACAACTCAAACTGGGAATACCTGGGTTCAAATCCACAGTCAACAATGAAATCTTCAAGAATTGAAGGAGCTGGGGAACAATGCACTGCTGATATAGTTGACTTCTATTTTTCTGCTATTTGCACGTCGTTTGCTTTCATAATTCATCCTTTCCTTCAGTAATCCCGTGAAGACAGTCCAATTGAGAGGCGGGAAAATCCTCAGTGGAGGGAAAAATCCAAGCACCACTTAAAAAACAGAAAAGGCAACTACTTGCCCAAGGTCTTTGAGCTGATTCTTCTCCATTTGTAGAGGCAGGAGGAAAGAAATCGTTCCACTGATTCAAGGGATGTTCATGTGCTGAGAATCTGGAGGGGGCCTACTTCCTGAGACCACACAGGTCTTGCCCAAATGAAAAAAAAAAACACAATGCCCCTCTACTTCTGGATTTGGAGGAAAGGGAAAAAAAGGTTTTAAAGGCTCAAAAAGGTCCACAGTGGCCTGAAACTCATTTAGTATCACCATTTCTGGAGACTTCCAGGAGTCGCAATTCACTGTTTTTCATCCAACATGTATACATGTAAGCGAGCATGCCCATGCGTGCGTGTGTGTGTGTGTGTACAGTAAGTAGTGGGCCCACACAAAAACTACATTGCACTCAGCAGTGACACTTTCTGGGTGTCTTGTGCTGGTCAGTCTCTCTCTCCCGCACTCCTTCTCTCCCTCTCTCTCTGCTTAAATCTGCTTCACAGGATTGCTAAGAAGGGCTCAAATGAAGGTCCAGACATGTTATTTGAAAGAGACAGAAGCAATAACTGGTACCACCAGAATTCACCAAATCCTATGGCAGCCCTACAACACCACATATGGTTATGAGATGATTTTGTATATAATGTATTTGTACTCACTGGTTGTTCACATATGGGGATCATGGTATTAAAAAGAACTTCAGCTCACTTTGTATGTGAAACATTATTGTTAGAAGAAAGGTTTGGACTTCTCTGGCTTCAGCATCTTCTGATTACCTTTAGAAAGTCTCAAGGGAATGAGGGAAGCAATCTATGACAAGAGTCCAAGGAGGTCCACATTGGAATGTTGTCACTTGTTAGTCCCGTCCGAAGGAGGTGGTTGTCATTTGAATCAGATGTCAGGGAATGTTTCCAGAGGAATGTCAGTCTTCCACTTCAGTTATATGTTAGATTCTGTATTTGGCTTTCCCATGATTATTGATCACACATATGTGCTGAAGACAATAGAAATTCATTATAACCATTTGTAACAGGCAACCAATAGTGTTTATAAAAGCAAATGATAACATTTCACAACCACATTATGTGCTGAAATCACAACATGTCTATTGGCTGAACAATTCATAAAGGGCGTCAAATAGCACTGGCAGCCTGATGTCCAAGCCTGAGGAAGGAAGGACACCCCTCTTTGTACGGAACACAGAACAACTCTGCAAAACAGTGTTAGAGCATTTACACATCTGCATTTTGCAAACGAGTTGCCAAAAGTGTGTTGGCTGAATGCTATTCAGTACTCAGTACTGGAAGAATACTATGGGTCCAAGGAGACTACAGACTATGGTCCCAGGAGAGGGAGAAGTTTATCCTGCCACTATAAGATGAGATGCCTCCTCTAGTTTGGAACAGGGGCAGCCCCTAAACATAGTTCATAAAATATAGGAAACACAAAGTAGCTTTATACTGATTTGGATCCACTGATCCATCTAGCTCAGAACTGACTAGACAGTGGTTCTCAAACTGGGATTTCCAGGTGTTCTTGGATTATAATCCCCAGAAGCCTTCACCGCTTGCTGTGCTGGCAGGATTTCTGGGAGTTGCAGTCCAAGAACATCTGGAGACGCAAGTTTGAGAACCACTGGTCTAGGCCAACTGGCAGTGGCTCTACAGTGGGGTGAGCAACATGCAACCTGCAGCCACATGTGGACCATGAAAGCCAAAGCATAGCCTTCCAGCAACGCCATACCTCTTCAAGTTTGGGGGGGGGGGAAAGAGGGCTCAGAAAAGTCCTTGTGCACCCTTTAAGAGAAATGGGGCATTTTGCCACGTACAGTATTGACACCCTCCCTGCATCTCTGAGACTTCCCACACAAAAAATTGGCCACTAAATGTTGAAAGAGGTCTTTTTTTCTAGATGAAAATGTTTCTAAAAGAAAAATCCTGGGTGTGGCCCTAGGGATGAACACAGAGTTTCTAGACTTGCAGGGGCGGTCCACTCCTCTTCTACTGGGTTTTACATTGGAATCTTTCCCAGCCCCACCTGGACATACCAGGGGTTTAACCCGAGAGCTTCTGGATGCAGTGTACATCCTCTGCCACTGAGCTACAACCCCAAAGATCACCTTTGAGAAAGTCACCAGTGACAGACTACAGCAGCTCAGGTAGTTGTATAAAACAGAATTGATTGGGATGTCAGAATTCAAATTTTAAGCAACGATGGATTCTGTGTGTGTGTGTGTGTGTGTGTGTGTGTGTGTCTGTGTGTGTCTGTGTGTGTATGTGTGTGTGTAAGAGAGAGAGAGAGAGAGAGAGAGAGAACAGGATTCAGAAAGACATAACAGTAATTACTGCCATTACAAACATAAAATGAAAACAAGATCCAAATTGGTTGGATTTCCAAGCCACATACTATGAGCACAAACTCATCAGGGCCCAAATTCTTTGGAGATACTTACATTCAGATCTCTGAAGTATTCATTGTAGTCTAAGGCATAGCCCACCACAAATAAATCTGGAATTTCAAATCCATAATCTAGAAAGGCAAAAACAAAAAGAAAGGCAATATTGTTAAAATCATACACAGTGGTATTTTCTTTTCGTAATGGTTCATTGACCTGGAAAACACATACAATAGTGAAAGCCCAGCCATTGCTGGTTTCAAGTTCTTAGATGGGAACATTTCATTAGGGCTGAAGCACAGTGTCTGATCTCTGAAATTGGAGCTGATTAGATGTACCTAATTAGGTCATATAATGGATCACCATTTGGGTACAAAGAAATTATGTTGGTCTTTTGACATACTGAAAGGGAGGAAATGTAGACCTTGCTAACTGTAGCCCAGAGCTCAGAAATAGTGGTGTTCTTGAAGTCACAGCTCAAGAAAGTAACTTATGTATGGCTTGCTTCATTCATAGACTTGTCCTCAGAGTTGTCTGCTCTCAACAAGTTTTCAACAGCTTTAAGAAGGTACTATACTGTGCCAGAGATTTGCCTTTGATATACAGCTAATTTCTGAAGCTGGTGCAGACTGTAATGGCCCTCAGCTGTTAAGCAAAATGCTAAGAACATTTTTGTAGCCAATGCTGAAAAAAACCATTTAAAATGTATTTACCATATAACTATGTCAATTTGAAGTTGGTTTAAGTGGTTTAACCCGACAGCCTTAGAAGCAGAACACAGCTGTGTTTTCAACACAAACAACTCAGAATCTAAGGTTTGGGATTATAAGGGACAAAACCATTTTGAAACTGTTACACAAACTTGTAGTGTGAAATTTCTCAAATAGTCCAAAATACTTCATTTAAACCTGCTGCTACTGCAATTGTGCCAGCAAGGGAGGGGCCATTTTTTTAGGCTGAGCATTCTTATCAGGGTGGCACTTTCATTGTTCAAATGCCATTCCAAGCATCATTTCTGAACAACACCCTAGTGGCTGGACCTGTTGTGTCTTGCCTGTTGAATAAAAACAGGACAATAAAACATTTGAGTTACTTCACAATAAAAAAACCGAAGAGAATCGGAAGGAGAGCACTTACAGTCAGGTCTGTACCCAACAGGTTGAGATGTTCTTTTCAGCAGCAAACTATCAGTAAACAAAGAACAAAGTGCTTTTAGGTATGCTTTTTCAAGCTAAAAAAAATAACAATCTTGTGCTTAACTAACACGTATGCATTTTCTCTTTCTTCCATTGCCTAGAAGTTTGTATAATCTGTGTCCTTACAAGTTTAACCCAGGTTTAGTGAAAGTTACTGTTTTTGGACTCCCAAAATGTCAATGGCTCCATTGGTTGGGGGACTTTAGAAACTGTAGCCCAAATAGTAACTTTTCTGCATTCTGGCTGAACCACACCCACCAGCCATTTACTGTTGTCCAATATATTCAGGAATACAGAAAATTGTCTTCAGATTGTTTCTCCTTCTCAGCTCAGTTGGCCTGGTTCTTCAGGGTCTGAGAAAGATCTTTCTCACCGCCTACTAATGGAAATTGGAGATGCTGAAGTTCATAGCTGGAAATGTCTCCATGCAAATTCTGTACTTTGTGTCACTAAAGTATGGATGTTGCTTAAGAACCAGTCCTCCTTCCTTTAATATTCTCAGACAGATAATAAAAACAGGAGGTGTGCACAGAGCAGCAAACTATCAGCATGTCACTATGCAAGATGGGTGCTGAGATACAGCCACCTGAAGTGCCTGCCCACTTTCTTTTTAACTTTCCCACCTCTTGCCCACTGTTTTCAGCAGAAGATTTAATGGGGCTGCTATCCTTCCATCTGCCATTTGAGAGGTCTGAAGGGTCATCGGGGGAAAACCTCAGAAGGAGGTTTCTTTCTGCTTTCCCCCTTCTGTTCTTAGAGTCAACTGCCTCTGCAGCATGCCCATACAGAAAGCAGAAAACGTAGCACAGCTCAAAAGCAGTCTCTGCAGGGAAATGCACATCAGCAATACATCCTAGTAAATATTCACAGGTTTGTACTAATGTCTCCCCTCCCATTCCAATCCCATTTACTCTTCTAGTTTCTCTCTGTTGACAGAGGGGATGTAATTTCAGTTATACAAAAGTAATTATTATTTATTACATTCTAATCCACTCGTTCAGCCAGTGAGCTCAAGATGGCATTAATGGATTCTTCCTCACTTCTTTATCCTCACAACCAAAACACATGCGAAGTAGGTGAGGCTGAAAAACAGTGAATGATCTAAGACCACCCAGAAAATGTTACGGCTGAGAAGGAAGTTGAACATGGATCTCCTAGTCCATAACATCTTAATCACTGCATCACACTGGCTAGAATGGTGAGGACTTATATTGAGTCAGAACAATGTTTCACCTAATCTGTCTTGAGTCTTACAATAGACCTCCAACATCTTTGGCAAAAGGCGGCCCCAGCAAAACCTCCTGAGCAGTTGTTGTTTAGTCGTTTAATCGTGTCCGACTCTTTGTGACCTCATGGACCAAAGCATGCCAGTCCCTCCTATCTTCCACTGCTTCCCATTTGAGTTTGGTCAAATTCATGTTGGTAGCTTCAATGACACTGTTCATCCATCTCATCCTCTGTTGTCCCCTTCTCCTCTTGCCTTCACACTTTCACAACATCAGGGTCTTTTCCAGGGAGCCTTCTCTTCTCATGAGAAGAGCAGAGTTTGGACCAATTGCCTTTCGGGACTACAGTTTCCCAGATTCTTCTAACCAGCCTGACTGCAGCTGGGAGATTTGGGGAGATATGGTCTCAAAAAGTTTAAAATCTGCTCCTGGAATCCTTACAGCTGAAAGGTCCAGGGACTGAACCTCTGATCCTTTGTACACAAGCCATAAACTTGAACCCTGACTTGTCATAGCTTCCCAGGTGGTACACTGACCTTGCCACCTTAACCATTCTGGGCTTGCATTTTTCAATGTAGTCAAGGAGAGCTCTCATTGTCCGACCAGTTCCAATGATATCCTTTGCAAAGTGTGAGAAGTAAAAGAAAAAGTTAACAAACAATTGGGAAAACCATGTAAGATTAGCACCATTCCATTGTTCTAATGTCTTGGAGAAAGGATTATGTTTTGTTCCTTTTGCACTGCCAGCATAAACAAAACAACAACAACAATAAAAACAATACAAATAAAAACAGCAGTATGTCTATGTATGCAGAAGTATTCTCTGAAAAACTACAACAAACATTTCTCTCACTTGAAATTAATTCAAGTACAGCTAAAAAAGCATCAATATTTGAGTGTCAAACTGGAACAACTTTAAAAACACACTTTGGGGGCTTCTGCTGACTTCACAAGATTGTTTGCATACCTGCACCTACATATATAACATAGTACAAGATATCTGTATGAACTAGCCCTCTCTTTTATAGGATATGCAAAAATATGAACTTACCTCCACAATTAATACATTCTGAAATAAAATGTAAAAAGGGAGAAAGACAGTAAATTAAATAGAAAGTAAAGAATCAGTAATAAAGCAACAGTGAACTGCAAACTTTTGCGTACTCTCCACCTTTCTGACAGATCAGGGGAAGGGCAGGGGCATGGACACCAGGTCAAGAGATAGCTTATAATGGTTACATTTTTGAACTACAGCTCCCAAAATGCCCCAGCCAGCATGGAATTCTCAGCATTGAAACACAAAACATCTTGGAGGATAAAAGATTAAAACTACAGTACTAAGTAACCCTGCCCCCCCCCCAAATTGCTACTGAATCATACTGTGAAGTTGATTTAGATCCTGTCTTGTTTTGAAGATGGTAACCATTTCTCGCTAATTCACAAACTGAGAAGCTTAGGATAAATGAAGCTGCCCACTTGAAAAAAACTGCTTTTTGGACAAAACCTCACAGAATCCCCCATCAGTATGAAGGCTGTTGCAAAACTAATTTCTTGGGCTATAATTCCCAGCATCTTGGCCAGCATGGGCAGTCTATTTCATATTTTATAGAAATATATTTTTTAAAAAATCTTTTCCACAGTATGCTGGGGTGATGATGATGCAAAATTACCAGGCACAGTCAATCAAGAATATAAAAACACTGACTAGTGTTATGCAACAGTTACCAGTTTTAATCAAAACCAAAGTATCTGTTATATATTGACGTAGTATTCTGTTCTTAATATTGCCATTTTTGCAGCTTGGTGATGTTATTTCTGAAATCTGCAACTGATGATGATTTCCAAGCTTTGGCAACTCTTACAATCAGTTCATTACAGGAACAAAGATGGCTTGACTCAGGTGTAACAATAAATAGTGGTTTATCATTACCAGAGCAAGCAAGTTTAAGGGAAGAAAACTGAAAGCCTGTCATAATTGACTAGCATTTGTACTATTAGCATTTTCAGTTATCTCCTAAACAAAGAGTGATTTCAAACCAGTACCAAACTTTTATTCTGGTTCAGATTCAGATACAATGGGAAGTTGTGATTAATGGAGTTTTTTAAAAACATATTTATCCTGCTCTGCCATTTAATAAAAGTGCAAGACAGCCAACAACAAATAACACAACCCACAACAGAAAATTGTAAAGAATAAGCAGTCAACTCCATAAAATCCTTTGAAAAACCAGATAAGAACAGATAAAAAGTTTTAAACAGCAGCCAGAGAATAACATAATTATTATTTTAAAAATCCAGAATAAAAAGGAACAGCGGCAGAGAACAACAAATCAACTACGTAGGCTAAATGCTTGTTAAAACAAAAATAAATTTGCCTGCTAATAAATCTCAAATAAAGCTTGGGCACAGCTACTAAAAAGGACATTTCTTCAAGTTCTATGTTTCTGTCAAATACTTGTGAGATGTTGGTGGAGGAGAAGAGGTCTTCTGACCTCGACAGAGGATTTTAGCCATCAGGGAGCCCAGTCTCCTTTAGGTAATCTTGATGCCAAGCTGCGCGGTTCTTTACAGGGCATAACCAATACTCTGAATTATGCCTTGACAAGGAATGGTAGCCAGGGTAGCTGTTAACCAGGGAGTAAAGTGCTCCCTTTAAGTGGCCCCAGTCAATAGCCTGACTACAGCATTCTGAACAGTGGACTTCCTGCATGGGCAAGAGGTTGAGCTACAGCTACACTTGGGAAATTTTCCTACTCTTCCATTCTATGATTCTACTGAAATTATTTTTAGAAATGCTTTTAAGTGTTTATGTTAGAAGGATTGTTCTTTTTTAATTGCAGTATTAAAATGCCATGTCACCTCCTCTTTGCCAGCTCATGTTAGCACTGTGGTTCTAAGGGGAAGCTAAAATGAGTCAGCAAATGAATATTATAATTCTATTCCATTACAATACTAATTCAAGACATTGACATTTGGTAGCTTCTCCTACACAGCCAAACACATAAAGCTATACTGGACATGGCTAGTTATAGAAGTCAAGAGATTTCATTAGATCATATCATGATAAACTTTTCTGAAAATTTTAAATTTAGGTTCATTATTTGGGAGGGATTCATCACTGAAGATACAGCAGAGTCCTGTAGCATCTTAAAGGTTCCCCTTGACAATTTTTGTCCAGTCGTGTTCGACTCTAGGGGGCGGTGCTCATCCCCGTTTCCAAGCCATAGAGCCAGCGTTTTGTCCAAAGACCATCTTCCGTGGTCACATGGCCAGTGCGACTTAGACACAGAACGCTGTTACCTTCCCACTAAGGTGGTCCCTATTTATCTACTTGCATTTGCATGCTTTCGAACCGCTAGGTTAGCAGGAGACCTGTAGCATCTTAAAGAGCAACAAATTCATTATAGCATAAAGTTTCAAGAATTATGTCCTTCTTCATTGGGGGATGAAGTATAGTAGGTTTGTGGTACCCACAGGGGATTGGTTCCAAGCCCCTCTCCATGAATGCTGAAAAACATGGAAGTATCAAATGCTACACGTTGCATGGTCTCAGGCTTCCCCTAGTGGCCAGTTCTGGTATACACACCCTATTTAAATGGGTATTTCTGGGTTTTTTAAATTTAGTATTTCAGCTAGCATGCAAGTAAATCAGCAGATACTGATCTCGTGGATGGGGGAGTCCTACCGTAATGAAGTGTTACTTCAAGTATTTGCAAAAGCAGATGATATTTTTATTAGAACCCTAAATCAAACAGCTTTCAACGTTTATCTGTCTTCCTCTGGCTGTACATTAAGATTTTGTGGATAGTGCAGAAAAAAGATATATAAGCATCTCAGAGTCCCCCCCCAAAAAAATCCATGACAGATGAATGTGCCAGACGTGCTTCTCAAGGTGAGGTCAAACACAAGCTGCAAATGCCATTGAGGGTTGCACTTTCAAACTCCATCCCAGATAGCATTTGGCTCCATTTCTTCTTCCAACTCTTCAAACCAAAAATCTACTAAATGATATGCATTTAACCCCTGTCCCCTTGCCTTCTTATGAAACTCAAGGTTCCTATTTGGCCATGGAAAAGGTAGAATGTGGTTACACCATGAAAACAAATCAGTAACTGGATCGGAGCCTTTGAAATTGGGTGCATAGCTTCTTAAAATATTCTGGCCCTCTTTAACTCTAAAGAGCACCAACTCCGGATAGGCTGTGGATGTTTGCAAAGAGGCAAGGAATCAACCTTGCAAGATTTGATCTGCCTCAAACCACTCTCAAATTATAAGTCCCATTTGTATCCACACACTCGACTCCATAGGAATCATGCACGCATGGCTTTGCAATGGTGCAAAAACACTGATACAAGGTATGGATCCTTATGGTTCCATATGATTTTTATGTTGGGCCATCCATCCCCAAGCCACTGTCCAATTTGTGGGCAGAGATAGTGCCTAGGACTGGAGACTGGTTAGGGGGATGGGATGATCCTATATAAAATCATCTGGACCATGAGGATCCATGCCTGAGATCCATGTTTTTATCCCACTGCAAAGACAGCTCTTCGTTCCTTACTTAGGCTACACATCTCACCCATCTTTGCCTCCAAACCTGCACCTTAGGTGTTCTCACTTGCCTCCCTCACATACTTTGCTAATTTACGAGGCATTCTCACATATCCCAAAATGACTGACTTCACAAACAAGTTAAATTAAATGACACTCTTGCCTCCCAGTAAAATACCTCACTTTCCAACAAACAAACAAAAAAAAACCATGCTTCCAGGGTGGGGGATGGGTAATCCAACCTTCCACATGCATAAAATACCTCACTTTCCAATTAAAAAACAAAAAACAAAAAACACGCTTCCAGGGTGGGGATGGGTAATCCGACCTTCCACATACGTCATGCAGTCACCCTTAAAAAATTATTTAAAACATGCTAAACCTAATTCCAGGGACATGGTGGTGCTGCGGGTTAAACTGCAGAAGCCTCTGTGCTGCAAGGTCAGAAGACTAAAGTCATAGGATCGAATCCACGCGACTGAGTGAGCCCCCGTCGCTTGTCCCAGCTCCCGCCAACCTAGCGGTTCGAAAGCATGCAAAATATAAAAATGCGAGTAGGTACCACCTCGGTGAGAAGGTAAACGGTGTTCCATGTCTAGTCACGCTGGCCACGTGACCACGGAGGATTGTCTGCAGACAAACGCTAGCTCTATGGGTTGGAAACGGAGATGAGCACCGCTGCCTAGAGTCGGACACGACTGGACAAATTGTCAAGAGGAACCTTTACCTTTACTAAACCTAATTCCAACATGTTTTTCTTACTGTAAGGTAAAGGTAAAGGTTCCCCTTGACAATTTTTGTCCAGTCGCGTTCGACTCTAGGGGGCGGTGCTCATCCCCGTTCCCAAACCATAGAGCCAGCGTTTGTCCGAAGACAATCTTCCGAGGTCACATGGCCAGGGCGACTTAGACACAGAACGCTGTTACCTTCCCACCGAGGTGGTCCCTATTTATCTACTCGCATTTGCATGCTTTCAAACTGCTAGGTTGACGGGAGCTGGGACAAGCGACAGGCGCTCACTCCGTCACGTGGATTCGATCTTACAGCTGAAGATCTACAGACCTTAAAGCACAGAGGCTTCTGCGGTTTAACCTGCAGTGCCACCACGTCCCTTTTTCTTACTGTAACCATGCTCATAATAGAGAAAACTGACAAACCTCCATCAGAGAACTGGGACTACTCACTAGGAGAAGCCATCTGAAGCCAAATCAATAGTACTGCCTAGTGGATGTAAGCAAATATTTTCTTCAGTTTGCAGACCTGTCTGGCTAATGTTAAAATTAATTTCTTCTACCTAGGTTCTTTTCTTCCATGGTTTTAACTGGGGCAAGCCAATAGCTTGCAACCAAGTCAAGAGCTGGATGGAAGGAGGAACTAGGAGAGTTCCAGATGGAACCCAAGCCATTAACTAGCTTCTAGAATGTGATTATATAAAAGAGATGGCTGCAGATATAGCCAACTTGGACTTCCTACCTGTTATCACCTTGGCTATGAAGATTACAACTGATGGAACAGTAAGTGTAACAATATTTAAAACACCATAGTTTGCCCACTCCTCTTTTTTTCCTTAGGAAGATTAATTGGAACCTAAATTAGATCCTGGATGGAATAAAAGCTAATAGTGGTAAGAAAAAGAACCAATGTGGGCATAGTTTGCAGCACAGCAGATTTATGCAGCCCCCATCCTGACCACCAGAATTTTCCATCTTTCCCTCTCCTCCCCCACCCCCAGTCAAGCCATCCGTGAGGGGTGTAAAAAGTTAGGGCAGCATTAAATTAGGCTATAGGCTGTATGAGATTAGATCCAGGATAACACATCCTTTACTGAATTGAAGGTCCTCATCCCATTGATTTCTCATTTCTACATGGCTAATTAGGCAAAGTTGGGGGAAGGACTTGAGTAAGACTGATATCCATGTCAAACTACCTTGCATTAAAAGCATGTTTCAACTACTGCACTTACACAGGGCATGTCCTTTCTCCACCACAAGAGGTCATGGGGGGAAATACCAAGGAAACAGCAGTTATGGGGCAAGCAATCAGTGGTGAAAGATTATTGGAGCTGTAGTTGAACTAAAAAGCTGAAGGCTCATAACTTCCTCATCCCTGCTCTGCAGAACGCTAACGGTTGAGCTAATAAAAGCTAAGATTCTGATTAATTTGAAGACCAGCAGGTTTTTCCACATGAAGTTAAACTCCCAAATTAGCTTTTCAAGAACAAAAAAAGATGATATGTTTGGTTAATATTTAGCTGCATACAGCTTTCAGTTTCCTAATATATCTCAAAATGTGGCTTTAAGCCTCTTTTAGATTGAATGTGAAAAGGCTCTTCCCCACTAAAAAATATCTAGATTTACCTAATCCTGTCAACTGGGATTATACAAGTCATCTTTAAGCAAAGATGAAAATAAACACATACTGTTTATAAATGCAGTTCTGTTTGAGACAATTTTTTAAAAAGGTTGCTATGTTTAACACCGCGGGTATTTATAATAAAACTGGTAAATTTACATAACCTTTGTGAGGACACCCATAATGCCGTTAGTTACAAAGAAGGCACATAATCAGAGCTTGGAAAAAAAATTACAGGCTGTCTTTCAGGTTGCATAATATGTTCATTTTTGTCCCTGCGCCCATCATGATAACACAGAGTTGCTCTTTTCTCTCCTTCACTATTTCAAAAAGGTAAATAAATCTTGTATGCAATATTGTGTGCTTACTTGGGAGTAAACTCGAATGAGCACAGATTGTACTTGCAGTTCTGTGCATTTACTTAGTGGTAAGCCCTATGGAATTAAGAGGAAGGTACTGTACATCCAAACAGACATGCCTAGAGATGCACTTTAAGCCTGTAGTTGTAACCTCTATGAACTATTTGGTTCAGCCCAATGACTAGGGAAATCTTAGGCAGATGCTGTGATACAAGATTTGAGTTGAGAATGTGAAGGAGCTGCTGGTTCCCTGGAGAAGGATAAGGCCCTTGCCACCTTGGTGGAGGTAGTAGAATTTCAATATGTTGTGCAGGAGGGGCACAGGAAGGGTGAATCCAGGTAGTGATCTCATATATTTACATTTGCAATTTATTTTAGGGTTTCTGGATAGCTCGTTTGGTTGAGAGATCTGGCTGCAGAGCCAGTGGTTGGAGTTTGATTTCTCATTGTGTCTCCTGAGAAAAGTTTGGTTGAGAGATCTGGCTGCAGAGCCAGCGGTTGGAGTTTGATTTCCCATTGTGTCTCCTGAGAAAAAAGCCAGATGCCGGTGTGGCCCTGGGCAAACTGCACAATCCTAGGATGCCCCCAGAAGAAGGGAATGGTAAACTACTTATCTACCCAGAAAACTCTGGAAAGAGTCACAATAACTTGAAATTGATTTGACGGCATGCCCTTATGATGATTAATGACTACTGTATTTGGAGCTGATTTGTTTATACTGTGGACATCCTACCTCTGTCGATAAATACATTTAGCACTTTGTTCTTATATGGCTTCAAAGAGATATCTGTAGCCTTCCTTGTTTCTACAAGCAAGTCCTGCTCTGGTGCTGGTGCCATAGTTCCCAACCTTGGGATCCCAGGTGTTCTTGGACTACAACTCTCAGAAATCCTGGCCACCACAACTAGTGGTGAAGGCATTGGTGAGTTTTAGTCCAAGAACATATGGTGACCAAGGGTTGGGAACCACTGTGCTGGTGAAAATAACTTGCAAGTGTAGAAACTGTAGCATTCCGTTTGGGTATGAGTTGATATCACTGTTGTTATTATTTGTTTTATATATATATAAAGAAAAACATTTTTGTAAATGTGTTTGCAGTACCCATTTAAAAACATTGCACAGCCATGTATACGTTTCTATCCAGAAGAACAGCCAATGTATCTATGTGCCTTATTTCCAGTTAAAAGTTGCACAGATTTGTGCTTTATGCCAGAATTCCTCCACGTTATAATCCAGAATCAATCTGTCAAAGAACCTGGGTCCCAATACAACAGAATGAATAAACAAATTTTGTTAGTTTTTATGGGAAGGACACTTATTTGTTTAAAACCATTTTGTTGTTATAGTTATTTGCTTTAATGGCTAAGGACATAAATATTGCAGTAGTACTGTATTGTTAGAAAGAAACGCTAATGAATAAAAGCAGTAATTCCCATTGAAAGTTAGAACTGTGAAATATAAATGTTGTTTCCATGGTAATTATAAGATATGAAATTAAGTTTAATAGAGTGGAGTTGTGTTATTGGGAATATTATTGCTATAACTATCTCTGTTGATCCAAAAATAGTAATGTTATTTTTGCATGGTATGGAAACCCTATATTCCACTAGACTACTATTGCCAGTGGTACAGGTATCACTAGTTGAAAACTATTGGTTTCACTAATAAAAACTTTAATTTTAATCAGTAATAAAACATTTACTTAGCTATTTTAGGGACCAGTTTGTTGAAGGAAATATGTAAAACATGAACAAAAAATAAACCCCTAAGGGGATTTTTAATTTGTTCTTGCTGTGGTGGCTTTCTAGAGAATGGGCAAAAAATTGCTATAGGTAGATTTCCCTTCTGAAAGAGTAGCCCAAATTTCTCTTACTTAGCTATGCTGGCATGGCACAAACAGCATGATATCTGAAGGCAAATTGCCCCAAGTTAAGAAACCACCAGAGACATTATGAGTTGCATAATGGTTGTATGGCGCAGCACGTAACTGATAATGTCTATGGTTATTTCTTCATTTGGGGCAATTTGTTAAACATCTGCAGATTTGAGTTTTTGGACTGCAACTCCCAGAATTCTGCCTGAGGAGTTCTTGGGGATTCTGGGAGCTGTGGTCCAATTAAGGGAGGTGCTATCTGGAGAATTCAGGCACTGCAGTGCAAAAACATAAGTCTATATACATTTGCAACCTGTCTCCAAAAGTTACACTATTTGAGTCTCTAAGCAAGAGGCAGCTTCTTAAAAAATAAAACTTTATTTTCATTTTCAGTCTGAAGAAGTGGACTTATACAAGGAAGTTCACATTAAAATATAGCAGCTAATATTTAAGATGCCACATTTTTTTTTACTTTCCCCCCCTTTCTTTTGGTTTTGCCTAACATTACAAAAAATTGTGATATTACCTTTCCTTCTCCCAGTAATTTGTTGAGATTTTGGTAATTTTATTTAAAAGGAAGTTAATAATTAAGGAAAGAGAACATGATTAATTAACTAAAAAAACCTTTAATGAGTTAACAGCTCTATTTCTAATGTAAAACAATTGCACAAGAAGTGAAAATACATCTTAATACTGTCTTCCCCAAATGCATCCCGAGGCTTGCTATTGTGAATATTTTGTCCCCACACACCATCTGCCCTCTTTACTCTTCAAGTAATGCTTTGCATGGTAATGTTTGGATTAAAAGAATCTCGTCCCTGAACAAAAAAATCTCTATTTGTTGCAAAATGAGTAGTATGTTCAAGCAGAACTTGGGGAACTGGGGGGGGAGAGATACTCATCAGCTTTTCAGCTTTATAAATACTTGAAATAAAATATTTATTGTTAAGTATTCAAACATCTTTTATAAATTCATCATTGTCAATATCGGTGTAATAATAAACAGTTAGGTCTAAAAGAGATCAAGGCTGCATTCAGCCACCACAAAAAAAAAACATCGTTTATAATGACAGGAACAAGATTGTATGAGCCCTGAGTTCCCAAGTTCCCATTTCTCTTTATCTGCCAGGGCTACAAAGAAGAGTTTGGAAAAATTCATTTCCAATTGTTATTAAGTGCGTCTTGTTTAGCTTGAATCCAACAAACTGTGGTTAACCTTAACTATGATTTGTCTGAAAACAGAACTTGGACTGGCCTTTCAAAAATTGAACTTGTCACACTGCTCATTCCTTTGCTGAAATCATTTTGGTTGTTCCATGTGCTAAACTAATCTGCTGTGTGGTGTGCTTTTAACATGTTGTGTTACCATTAGAGATGGGGGTATTCATATACAAATACGAATATCCCCCCCACAGGTGCAGATAATGAAGATCCAGCCCCCTGGGGCCAGACTGACCACTGCTGCTGCAAGCCCCGCGGTGCCTTCCTATTTCTCCATTGCTCGTGATGGATTAGCCACTCTTCAACCTGGCAAAGGGGCTCGTTCGTCATCCCACCTTCTGCCAGGAGTGGTTAATCTATCGCGAGGAATACCCCCATCTCTAGTTACCATTACCAGCAGCCTGATGAGTAGGCTTTTTTGAGAGAGATCCACTGCAACAAATACTGCATGGCAACCTTGGATTTCTGATGTCCCTTTAACAGCACTTTATTTTAACAATTTACAAACCTTTCCAGCCAGCTTTGAAAAATCATCTCCACCTATGATCTGGGTGTCTTGTGTGGATTGGTCATTCTGAAAAAGAAAAACATGCAACATTTTATTTACTTTTTCATTATGGAAAAGGGGGAAATGGGTTTTGGTCTTTCACAGAAGTATATGTTATCCTTTTCTGGGATTGACAACTTATTTTTTGGAGGAAACAGGACAATTTTGGTCTTTTTTATGTCTCTGAAACAAACTCTCTTCCAACAACATATATAGCTTTCAGTTTTATAAATTTACCATATTTTTTCCACAAAGAAACATCTGTCAGCATGTCCTGGAAAATGCCACTGTTATATGATGACAACCATTTTCTGTGACTACTGTGGCACTGCTACTTTTTTCTCTAATACCATAGTATTTGAATGCATACGGCACTGTGACACTGTAGTATCTAATTATAATTCACAGTGAAAAAAAAACTTCATGGTAAAGTCCATATAAAAGTGTGATATGTAGGCAACTTTCAGAACTGATAATACAACAAAAAGAAAAAAGGAAGAAAAGACGAAAAGAAAGACCTCCTTAAGATGGGAAAAGTAACAGAACACTAGGGGATAACTGGCTGAGAAAACCATGTAGGTTTTTCTTATCCTTCCAAAATGGGGGGAAAAATAAATTTTTCTTGATAAAAAGAGAAATATAAAACTCTCCTTTTGAGACAAGAGTCTTCCTGACCTAGAGGGTTAAAAGAAGAATAATTAACACAGGGAAATTTGTGAAAAGATCTTTGTTCATCTCTTCAAGATGAAGAGATGAACAAAGCCAGATCCCATTCAAAGACTTTGAAGTACATTTGCTTTGCATTTCAACATTGTTGGCTACAGCAACAACTCTGCTGCTGGCAAAGAAATGGGAAAGTGATTCCAAGAGTCTTTTAAAGCACAGGATTATACTAGCCATTAAGAGATGCTAAGGACTGTATTGTTGTGCACTGCCTGCTACTGGGGAAACGGCTATGCAATTCCCTGTATAGATATTTGCAAACTGGAGCCAAAGAAGAATATTTCCTTGCAATGGAATGAGCAGATGTGCAAATGAAAATAAAGTACCCTCATGTACACGGTATTAACTATCTTCACATAAAGCTTTATGCCATGAAATATGTATCTAGAATACTGTATATTGATGTTTATTACATTTTACGTACCTCAGATTTTTTCGTGTTTTGCTCCCCTACCCCTATGTCAAAATATTAAATACTTAGTAATGTAGAAATCATATATTTAACCCAAACTTGGAAAAATTCCTCCTTGGGAGATGAAAATCCCAATATGATGCAGCCAGCACGGCTGCTGCCCAACATATAGCTTTTCCAAGCTCTGTTTTCCAACTTCTCCATAAATGCCAGCTTAGAAAGACAAATCTTCTTAAGCCGGACCGGCGATCCACGTAACTTTCTCGAGCATTACAGAAGCTAAATAAGCAGCTCCTTTTGTTGACTTCCTATCTCAGTGAAACGCTATATGTTGCTGTTTCTCATTATACATTGTTTATTGTCTTCTGGCCAGGTTTCAAGCCATTTAGCAGGGTTTTGATCCAAGACTCGTCACAATTCTATGATGCAAATGGAAGAAATTGCTGTCAAGAAACATCTCATGTTTCGAGTATTCTCAGAACTCCAGAAAGCAGGCAGCTAATAACTGCAGAAATACAAAAGTCTGACCCACTAGGTCAGTTGGGACCTTGACCTCTGGGCTTCAGTTCTACCTTAGATATTGTCAGCTAACCCTATGGGTCAATCAGGAACCCCCTAAGCCTATATGAAAATCTGATATTTAAAGAACTGTCTCAAACCAGCTGGGAGAAGCTACTGAGTATACCTGTCCCAATATTTCTGCCATGTGACAAACTATCTGGCCACATAGTCTATTGTCTACCTTCTGCATCTGAACCTCATACTCTGTCAGAAATATCTCTCCCCATTTCATGCAGTATGTGCTTCTGAGCTTAGCTGAGATTTTACAGATATTCTGCTGCAACCCAACGATGGGTAGCCAGGGTTGATATTCCATTTCCTCAGCGTTTATAATGACAGAACCTCTGTACAAATAATTATCTGCTTGTGGGGCTCCTGTGCCTTTAATACTAGATGACAAATCCAAACCCAATAGGTAAAGTGGCCCTTTCCCCGAATCTCCATGGTGTTGGAAAGTTGCAGAGGCTACAGGTCTATATAGTTGAGAAGCATTTAGCACGACCCTGACTGCTACCAAAAAGGCAATACTAATTCTGGTAGAAGCTGGTGCATATAGGGCAGGATCTACAGAACAGCCTAGCAAGATCTGCCCTACTAATTCCACTACATAGTATAACCTGGCAAAGGGGCTCGTTCGTCCATTCCAATGGGGCGGGGGAAAATTCACCAAAAATTAACAAAGACTCAGAACAAAGCCAAATTAAGTTTGCAAAGGTTTTACAAGGTGCGCTAACGATTCCAAGCATTTTAAACAGTTTTTGAACATTTTAAGACACACTTAAAATAGCGAAAATGGACATCGCTAAGCGAAACAGGGGGGACCTAAACTGTCATCGCTAAGCAAAGCAAGGTCCCGAACATCGCTATGCGAAATTTCCCCATAGGAAACATCGCTAAACAGAGCGTAAGATCGCTCCAAAAACCTCATCACTAAGTGAATACATCGTTAAACGAGGCAATCGCTAAGCGAGGCACCACTGTACCTGGAAGGACTTCCTACACCCATGCAAAGCTACTTATCCATTGCACGTGTCATTTGAGGGCTTCTACCACAGTATTCGAAGAGGAACGTGGTGGTGCTGCGGGCTAAACCGCAGAAGCCTGTGCTGCAGGGTCAGAAGACCAGCAGTTGCAAGATCGAATCCACGTGACGGAGTGAGCGCCTGTCGCTTGTCCCAGCTCCTCCCAACCTAGCGGTTCGAAAGCATGCAAATGCGAGTAGATAAATAGGGACCACCTCAGTGGCCACGTGACCGCGGAAGATTGTCTTTAGACAAATGCTGGCTCTATGGCTTGGAAACGGGGATGAGCACCGCCTTCTAGAGTCGAACACGACTGGACAAAAATTGTCAAGGGGAACCTTTACCTTTACCTTACCACATTCTTCTGCCTTCAAACATACTGCTGGCTGGGTGGCTGGGATGGATATAGGATATAGGGCTACCGACCTTTTCAGCTATGGCAAATGGGCTACACAACTCTGCCCCTTAAGAAGTTCAGGGGCTCCCATTTCATGTCTTTCGAAATACCTTTTTAAAAAATACTAGGTTCCTGCTTGCATTGTGGTCTTTCTCTCTCTCACTCACTCTCAATCTCTCTCTCTTTTTTTTTACAGTTCTGTTTTGAAAAATACCTGCTTTCTGTTGCCTTCATTTTTTTTAATGGTTGTAGGCCAAAGGTAAAATGGGGGAATGATACAGAAATGATTTGATAAAATAAACAGGAAGAAACCTAAAGACTCTTCCCTTTGCCCCCTTTCCCTCTTGGATCCGCCATTACTTCAAAAGGACCAGCTTCAGATATGACAAAACTTATTGCCTTCCACTATTTCTTACAATAATAGTGCTTCTCAAATGCAACCATTGGAAGAACAGTCCTTACTGAAGAGTTCCTCTCTCAGTCTTCTCCAGAAAAAGTGCCTACTTATTTCTGTATTCCAGCTTTCTGCTCGGCCTAATGAAATTTTCCTGATCAGCAGCATACAAAACAGTCTCCAATCATGTAATTAGACACTGTAGGCAAATCAAGTTAGTCACATCAAAAAAATTAAGCAGGAGCTGCAGAAAGTAGCTTTTTGGGTGAGCTACAGTACATCAACAATCATTTCTAACTCTCTATTTAATAATAACAACATAGTACCCTAAACGATATCACTGAAATAAAGCAAGCTTGGGATAACCAGGGGTGTATTTTTACATGCAAAGCACTGGTATTCAAAACATATTCCTAGGTTAAAATGCTTTAATTCTAGGCTTATATTTGATGTGTCAAATTTGGCTTGGCAGAAATTGATAGTCGGGCCAAAAACAAAGAAGACCCAATAAGCCCGAATTCTGTGTTTTCCTGTAATAGATACTACAGATAAATCTGCAGAGGAGGATTAGAAAACATGCATAAATGAAAACAGGTTAAAAACTCAGAACCAGAAAACAGGGATACTACTAGAATTATTGCCAAAAAATATATTCCTCACCTCATTGTGATTGCTCAAGGTCACAAGTGTGCTACAGGTCTATTTTGGTGGGCTCTTCAAGTTTGTATTGTTTACAGTGCATTTGCCATGGATAATCTGTACTTTCCCCTTCCAACATATTTCATTGTGTTCCTTCCTCCAATATCTGCATTTCACAGAAATTTGACAAAGGGGAGAGAGTTTGTTTGCATGTCCGTTACTTCTTAAAAGAGTAGCTCTTCCCATCTAAGCCCATCTTCAGAATTTTAGATCACCCAATAATGAGCAAGGAATTGTGAACTATCAAGCAGGCTGCCTGTTATATGCCGTCAATTCAGAACTCATTTATTGCAACTCTAATAGGGTTTTCAAGGAAAATGAGCTATTTAAGGAGTGGTTTTATTCCCATGACAGAACTAGGGAATCGAACCCAGTTCTCCTGAGTCCTAGTCCATTGCTCTACCCACTAAACCCACCATTCTCAATAGGGGCCATATGGCCCTCTGGGGTGCCACACACTAAAAACAATTCTTCTCATGCTACCTTATAAGGTTCATTATACAATCCAGATTCAGCCTATCTTTCATACTGTGTTTATGGCCATGGCCAAAAAAAGTGCACTACATCACACTGGTTCCTCCAGCAGAATGCTACTACTAAAAGAGAAGATTCATCAGAGGATGATGAACACTTCTTGGATCAAGAGCAATAATCAGGGAAGAAGTACTAAGTCAAATAAATAATGCTCAATGAAAAGTATAGATTGATACAGCCAAGTGTTCCATATAAAATAAATGGTAAAAGAATTACATGAAGGAAAATACTTTTTTGGCTTTTGTGGGGGGGGGGAACAACCTCTAAAGCCTCATTTGGATGTAA